ATCTTGCCTTGGGCAGCCCCAAATCAGAATACCACTGGGGCAGGCCCTGTCAAAAGATCTCCGGGATAAAGTTGTGGACAGGCATGGGTCAGCAGATGGATATAAACAAACTTCAAAGGCTTTAGCAATGCCTAGAAGCACAGTGAAGTCTGTTAATAAGAAGAGGAAGGTATTTGGTACAACACAGACCCTCCCTTGATCAGGACGGCGCTCCAAACTGGATGAAAGAGCCAGGAGGAAACTGGTCAGAGAGGCTACCAAGAGGACTACAGCAACTCTGAAGCAGTTGCAGGAATTTATGACAAAGTGGTTATTGTGTGCATATGACAACAATATCACAAATTATTGAAATGTGGCTTGTATGGGAGGGTTGCAAGAAAAAAGTCACTCCTCAAGAAAGGCCACAAACAGTCAAAATGCACCTGAAAGATTCTGAGGCCACATGGAAAAAGGTGTTATGGTCAGATGAGACTAAAATTTAATTGTTTGGCCTCAACACCAAACGATATGTCTGGCGGGAATCCGATACAGCTCACCATCCAAATAACGCCATTCCTACAGTAAAGTATGGAGGTAGTAATATCATGTTATGGTGGTGTTTATCTGCAGCAGGGACTGGAGCACTTGTCAGGATAGAAGGAACAATGGATGGGGCAAAATACCATCAAATTCTTGAGGGAAATCTGCTGCCCTCTGCCAGAAAATTGTCAATGGGAAGAAGGTTTACCTTCCAACATGATAATGACCCAAAGCACACAGCAAAAATGACCACACAGTGGTTGAGGGAGAAAAAGGTTTTTATTTGTTTCTGACATGTCGGTGTTATATCTTTCACTTGGATGTTATAAGTTGCACTGAGTAAATACAGCGGGATAAAACAAAAACTGTGTCAGTCTTCATTTCAGGCTGCAAAGCAACAAAATGTGATTATTTTGCAAGGGGGGTGTGTCTTTTCTATACCCACTGTATGCGTGTTTGTGTATATATATATATATATATATATATATATATAGGGATGCACCAATACCGGTTTTTCAGTATATATATTTGTAATACCACCAAAGGTCTATATTTGTCATATACACTCCAGTATCAGTTTAAATACCTGCTCTGCAGAATGTGTATAGTTTAAAGGAGAACTATGAGGTGAGTGATTTTTACTCACCTCATAATTCTAGCCGACCTGTGACAATGAGACTGTCACTGGTCGGCTCAGTAGATCGGGAGGTGAGCGAACACATACCAGCGTTCGCTCACCTCTCGATCCTGTCACAGCTCTCTGCCGTGACAGGGGAGGGGCTGGATTCCCCCCTCCCCGCTCCGATCCGCCAGCGCTGACTGGCGGAACGGACAGGGAGGGGGCGGGTACAGCTTACTCTGCCTCTAGATAGGCAGAGCCAGCTGTCAGTCACGCAGCTGGGCAGATCCCGGCATAATTGTCGGGATCCGCTTCAGCTGCGGCATCTTAGTATACCGTGAGCAGCAGCTCGCGGTATACTGCGGCGTCTCAGTATACCGCGAGCTACAGCTTGCAGTATACTGAGCCTAGGGTGATGGGAGGACGCTAGTTTATGTCCTCCCGTTACCCTAAGGAGAACTATGGGGAAAAGCCTTAACCCCATAGTTCTCCTTTAAGAAAATCTATATTGTCTATTTTTTCTAAATACTCAGACATCACCAAACAAGTAACAATGGCTGTGTCTGCAATTTTGATTGGAAAACATAAAGATATCATTGTTTTTTTAGCCAATTTTAAAAACATGGATGCATTTTAATAAGTGATTTCAACATTTATGTTCTTCCTCTTTTATTCACATGCTTATAGTCATGCTTATTTTTTTTAAAAACCCAGTGTGTTATGTTGATTTTGGCTCCCAGATGTATGGCAATACATTACAAAATTCCTGTTCTTCCTCTTTTTCTCATATGCTTACACACCCGTGCATAGTCATAATTTTCCTTGAAAGTTTTGTAACTTCATGACTTCCTCATGCACCCAAAACTTGTGATTATAGAGGTTTCTGCAGCCATTTCCTTTAAGAATGAAAAAAATACATGTTTGAAAGATAACTGTACAAAAGTACAGTTATCAACTTCTCCCCGCAACTTTTCCTGCCCCCCAAATCCTATACTCACCTGTCCACACTCCTGCTACAGCTGGCCATACTCTGATAGAACATTCATGTGAAAAATCTCATCAGAACATTCAATAAGGCCATCAAAGACTTGACAGATGTTGTTCGACATTTCATTTGGTTTCAACATTTGATTATGAAGTGAATGAAGTTTCCCAAACGAGAACCACATTCACTGTCTGAGAAAAATTTTCCTTTGATATTTTTTTAGGGGAAGACATAAATGCTAAATAAGTAATCCTCCAAGGGGCCTGCAAAATCAATTGTCACAGGTTCTCTTAAAGCTAGTGAGTGTCAGATAGATTTTTTTTTTCTGTAACTGTAGAATTGTTGAGGGCACTACGATTCATCTTTGGCTTTATTTGCAGAGGATGTCTGCTATCCAGACAGGAAAAAAATGTTAGTTCCAGTGGGTATTGCCTTGGCGGTGGTGGGGCTGATACTCATTATCCTTCTCGTGGTCCTGCTTACAAGAAGAAGGCGAAGCTCAGGATATCAACGAATATGAGACGCTCACATTCACCACTTCCTCACTTTACCTCTTGCAACAGCCAAACGCTTCTTGCAACCGTTTGGCTGCTACCAAAAGCACAAAAATTTTTGTTTGTATCTTTCATCATCATGTATTGAGAACGCTTTTTCTTTGGAACGTTGGAGTTAGTTACCGCAATGGAAGCCAAATATGTTCATTGTAATGAAGACAATGAAATCAACCAAACAGAGGAGGCAGATGTGACTGCAATATTTTTTTTTTGATCCCATAATCTGGGGCTTCTCATTTTAGCAATCTGTAGGATGATGATTGGTCTGTGATCACCCACATATAAACCAATTAAATGATTTTTAAATAAGAATTAGAAATTGTTTGTGATTTATTTGTCATCTCTAGAGATCACCTTACCAAAATTGTATTTTTCCTAAAATATATCACTGTATGTTACTTAGAACTCCAGCTAAAGCTTACAGCGACCCTGTCATGACGATAATAAGTTTAGTGTAATTCCACTTATGCAGCCAAATCGAGATAACACCTATTATATATTTGTAATATGTTTCCACTTACATTGCAGAAGCTAAAAAAAATATTAGAAAATTGCTAGTCGCAGTTTTAAGTGTTTTATACTTGTTTAAAAATCCTACCTAACTTCCCCCTATTTAATGTTAAGGAAGGGGCTGCGGGATGTTACATTTACTCTAATTAACCCTGCCTGTACTGTGCTCCAACATGATAACGACCCCAAACACACCTACAAGACGACCATTGCCTTGCTAAAGAAGCTGAGGGTATTAAGGTGATGGACTGGCCAAGCATGTCTCCAGACCTAAACCCTATTGAGCATCTGTGGGGCATTCTCAAACGGAAGGTGGAGGAGCGCAAGGTCTCTAACATCCACCAGCTCTGTGAGGTCGTCATGGAGGAGTGGAAGAGGACTCCAGTGGCAACCTGTGAAGCTCTGGTGAACTCCATGCCCAAGAGGGTTAAGGCACTGCTGGAAAATAATGGTGGCCACACAAAATATTGACACTTTGGACCAAATTTGGAAATTTTTACTTAGGGGTGTACTCACTTTTGTTGCCAGCGATTTAGACATTAATGGCTGTGTGTAGAGTTATTTTGAGGGGACAGCAAATGTACACTGATATACAAGCTGTACACTGACTACTTTACATTGTAGCAAAGTGTCATTTCTTCTGTGTCGTAATAAAATATTTACAAAAATGCAAGAGGTGGACTCACTTCTGTGAGATACTGTATATATATGTACAGTATATACACTTGCCAAAAGTATTGGGACACCTGCCTTTACACACACATGAACTTTAATGGCATCCCAGTCTTAGGCCGTAGGATTCAGTATTGCGTTAGCCCACCCATTGCAGCTATGATAGCTTCAACTCTTCTGGGAAGGCGTACACAAGGTTTAGGAGTGTGTCTATGGGAATGTTTGACCATTCTTCTAGAAGTGCATTTGTGAGGTCAGTTACTGATGTTGGACGAGAAGGCTTGGCTCGATGGCTCCGCTCTAATTCATCCCAAAGGTGTTCTATCGGGTTGAGGTCAGGACTCTGTGCAGGCCAGTCAAGTTCCTCCACCCCAAATTCGCTCATCCATGTCTTTATGGACCTTGCTTTGTGCACTGGTGTGCAGTCATGTTGGAACAGGTAGGGGCCATCCCCAAACTGTTCCCACAAAGTTGGGAGCATGAAATTGTCCAAAATGTCTTGGTATGCTGATGTCTTAAGAGTTCCCTTCACTGGAACTAAGGGGCCAAGCCCAACCCCTGAAAAAAAAAACCCACACCATAATCAAAAACAACCCCACCCCATAACCCCCCCTCCACAGAATTCTAATCTCTCCAATTCTCTGTTCGTCTGGATACTAGTATGTTGTAACTGAAAATACAACACAAAGGGCTCCCGCACATACGAATAACAGCACTATCACTGTATATCAAGCCATTGCAAATCAATCAAGGAGCCTCTTAGGCAGTCATGGCACAGTCCCTACTGCGTAGTAGTGCTCACCACTATATACAAAAACAGATTATCTTTGTCATTATGAATGCTTGGCAAAGTTAGTGGTGAATTAAATATCACAAAAATATTTCAATAGACATGTCCGTTGCCCCCTCTTCCAATATACTAATCTTTTCCTATATTCTTACACCACTCCATTCGGCCACATAGAGCAGAGTGAAATATGCAGCTCTGGGCATCTGAATGGCCAATTACCAATCCTAAGCCCTCAGTAAGTTCCAGACTGACATGGAGTCATGCACAGGGTTTCTTTCACTCCTATAGGCATTTGGAGTGGTAGGGTAGCAAAGAGAAAGTGGAACTACATGTCCCATGAGGCACTGGAAGACTGACAATTACAGGCATGACTCCCAGACACAGAGGCATGTTAGGATTTGTAGTTAAAGCACAGCTAGGGGGATGGAATTGCCCACCCGTGCACTAGGGGGCCAACACTCCCTGGCAGCTTATAGGAGGTGAACTTTAAAATGGCAGTTAAGTCTCTTTATAAACTATAGGCATCATTTAACCCCATAAATAAGCAGCAGCAGGATGTTACAAAGTAACTTTGGGGTACAGTACTGATGTGGAGGTGAGTATTACAGTGGAAGTTCTATTTTTTATTTTTAAAGGTGCAGGTAAAATTAATTTGAAACTTTTACTCAATGCTAATGTTGGACTTTATAGGTACTTTAGTTTCTTTTAGGTAAGGTGACAGTTCATGATCCACATGGACAATTTAATTATTTGTTTCTCTACATCTTCCAGCTGCTGAATAATGACAGCTAGGCGGGAGATATTCACATGTGAGGACGGCATACTAAAGGTGGCCATACACTTTACAACCATCGCAAGACCTTAGTCTTGCGATGGTTGTAAAGTAATTTAAAAAACGTACGATCTGCCCATCTTGGACAAGCAGATCGTACTTGTGATCATCGCAAGCCCGCCCCCCAGAGGGGCGGGCTTACAATGACCGCAATGCGGAACGGGCAGTGTGCGCGTGCGCACACCGGCCCGTGCGGCATTGATCTTACGATCATGCTAAAACACAGCCGAAAATCGTACGATTCTCGGCTGGTTTTCTAGCATGCTCCTTAGACAAAAGACGTGCGACCGTACAGTAGAAACGGTCGCACGTCTTCATTCACACTGCACGATTCTCGTACGATCGCGGGATTTCCCGCGATTCTTGTACGAGAATCATGCAGTGTATGGGCACCTTAATGGAACTGATCTGTGTTCATTCCACCTTGTGCTGCATATTTAAAGAGAGATGTAAATCCATACCACAAAGTATGCATGAATAAATGACTGCAGAACATATACACATATTTGTCCCATTGACCTAATGTTCTGCACACATAGAAAGCAATCAACAATCTTTGAAATAATGTGAAATATGTTACATTTTTCATTCACGCATCTTACTGTCATGTGTCTTTTTCTTTGCAGAGGCAGCGTGCTCGTATGATCGCAATATGATTGCCGTGGCCATAGCCGTAACTGTATTAATTGTCATTATCATTGCAATAATAATCTACTTCATTTGTCACAAGAAGCGATCTTCTGGCTATCAGCGGATTTAACCATAGGGGAAGACTTTCATATCATGTGTATCTTTACAATGAAGACAACAACCCACAGCCACACACCTTTAACTATGGAAAACGAAAGACTAAAGCAACATTTCTGCCTTGTTAATGACAAAATGAATGATTACTTTTTTTGACAAAATGACAAAGCTCATAATTTTTTTAAAAGGTTTCACCATTGGTGATTCTCTAATATACTAGAGTTCTAAGAGCAAGTGAAGTGAACACAGACAATGGTTGTTGGGAAGGCAGAAAGACTTCTGGCGCTGTACTTTAAACCTGGGGCTATTGTTGACATGTGAAACTGCCACTTACATTCAGTAGCAGACCCCTAGGTGCCTGCACGCCAAGTTTCTTTCCTGGCAATGTACCCCAGGAGCCTTAAAGTAGAAATGAAGCCAAACTTGTTTTTAATTTTGAATATAGTAAGGGAAAGTTTTAACCTCTGTCAGCTTTTTTTGCCATCTGTGTCCCATTGGGGAGATTTCCTTTTACTTCCTTTCTGATAGGAAGTGAGAGAAAATCCCTTGAAAGAGAGGGGAATCCCTGGTGGTCAGCAAAGTCACCAGAACTAGTGTCCCTATTGGAAGATTTCCCCTTTAATTCTGTTCTGGTGACAACCCAAAATTTAGGATAACCCAAAATTCCAGTGATAACGAGGACAAATAGAGAGGGTGAATCTCCCTAAAGCTGGCCATACACCTTACAATTATCTGCAGATTTTCTGTTCTCACTCAGATGGAAAAGGTGCAACAGATTCCTCCATCTACACTTAGCTGTGTGGATGGAGTAATCTCCACCTGGGCCAATCTGTTGCACTTTTTCCATCTGACCACAGAAAATCTACAGATAATTGTAAGGTGTATGGGCACCTTAACAAGGACACAGACAGGAATAAAAACCTGACCGGTGTTCTAATCCCTCTCCACTCTATTCAAACATTAAGTAGCAGTTTCACATCCTATTGGTAGCCACAGACAGTGACTCTGGGACACTATAAAAGTGCAAAATCTGGTGCAACTATGAAAAGCCGCAACCAAAAGGTGTTTGTATACATGTTGGCATACCCTGTAGATCAGGCCCCAAATCAGAAGCATAAATTGAAACCTCAGGCCTTCCCAATTCTGTACCTTTTACTTGACTAGGGTCACTGACCAGTAGTTAGATGGGAGAGGTCAGAAGTTAGGCCATAAAAGATGGTCAGTACTTGTATATAAGAACTCGTTGTTGGGTCTCACAGGGTACTCTACATAATATATAAAAATAAATGCAGGCATGTCGGGACCCACGCTTTCAATGGTTGATGCTGGTTTTAAACTGGCCATAGACCTCCTTAAAGAAGCAGACCTGCCATGTAAACATGGTATTTACTAAGAGCTGTTTCCTCTTTTGGTGAGGCTTATTAACACCAATATCTTAAAGGGACTTTAAAGAATTTGTGAACACAGGACTCTAAAACACAACAGTAGGACAGAAAATATTATTTGTGCCCTGAACTTGACTTTACTTACACAACAAAATGTTGTTTTTTTTAACCTTATTTAATGCTTCTTTTTGGTGGTCATATGACAGCACAGCCTCCCTTGCTTCCTTCTTCTTTAAAGCGTCTGTGTGTGGTGCAATACAAGCTGCAGCTGCAAAAGGCTGGGTGGGGCGGCATCCATAATAACTATGGGAGATACAGACACACTAGGAGGGATTTATCAAAACGTGAGCAGTTGCCCATACTAACCAATCAGCTGTCCAATGTAACAAACTCAGTTTGTTCAGTCCAGTTTTGATAAATTCCCCTCAGAGTGTGTTGGCAAGGCGTCTTGTATCTCCAATTAGGAAGCTCTGGTACACAAACTTACCATGCCAGCATGGTTCTGTGATATGTGAGGGTGACAACGCTGTTGTGTGCTTTCACTGCAAACTGAACAACGTTGTCACTCTATTACAGGATGTGGAAGAATAATGGATCTACTGGCAAGGTCAACAAGTAATAAAAATATGTTAAAGAGGCAGCTCAGAAAAACAAAAACTGCTGTGTTAATGCCAATGAGGGCCTGTATAACATACACAATTTTTTTTTTCCAGTTTTACTTTAATGCACAGCTTATCAGCATTTAGTAACTATCCATGTAAGAGCAGCTTATTATTAGAAATCACTTATATGTGTAGACAAGTCTGAATCACAAAAGTATTTTCCAGCCAATGACTAAACTAATATCAGTAACATCTGATATTATATATTAAATATAAGAATAATCTAATATCAATATAATATGAATGATTCACCTAGAAACCTTTCCTCAGCCTGAAATGGCTGCTTACAAATAACACTAGCTTTCACTAATACACACAATACAAGACCAAATATCTCAACCTGCAGCAGATTTTTATTGGCATATTTTTTCATTCTGCTAGGAAAGGTATTCTACAAGGCAAATAATATTTTGGCAAACTGGCCCTAAATGTGATCAAAACTTAACATTCACTTATAAAGATACTTATTAGATAAATATTTCCCAATGACTTAGTTGGGCAAAGTTACTGCTCCTAAGCATTTTTAGTCTCTTGTACGAAATAATCCCTTTCTCTCACCACATCTACGGGGTCATTCTGTGTGAACATATGCAAAAAAGTTCTTTATTTTTTCTTTACAAGTGGAATATCATTTCGAATGTTGTGATGTAATGTCATATTATGGCCACTATTTAGCATTGAGGAGCATAGAAAATAAACACTTATTTAATATGCTCCATTAGCTCCATCTAGTGGCCATAACCCGATATTACATCAAATGATTGGAAATTACATTCCACTTGTAAAGGGAAATAATAAAGAACATTCATTTTTGTATATATTCACATGGAATGAATGTTCACAGATATTCGCAGGGCTGTTCGCCCTTTTTATAAATAGACCCCTATGTGTTTCAAACCCAGACTAGCCCTTGCAAATAAGCTGGCTCCATCCAAAGGTTCCAGCCTATCCACACACTGCTCGAAGTGGAATCTACACACCAGCAAAGAGCTGCTTTGTAACCATCAGTACAGGCATCTATGCAACTTACTAAAAATATGTTTTAGGTACACATAACTTGATAGTATGTATAATTTAATTGTATTGTGTCCCAAATGTACAGCTTTAGAGCCTTTATGAATATATTTTAGAGGTACAAATATATACCTTTTATTGCACTGATAGATGGAGACCATCCCTTTACATTAAAGCATTGCAGCCTTTTGAGGACTCACCTCTCCTGTCAGCAGGCTCCCTGTCAACAATTGTGCACTATTGCAAAGCCGCATTTTCTCTTAGTGCTGGCCTTTGCTTTTCCAATCTGAACGCTGCTGCACAAAAGAAAAATGGCAGATTCAGGTACTTATACTAGTTCTGCATTAGTAATCATTTACTGATTTTTTTTTTTTTAAATAATGACAAAATTGGTGCTCTTTCATATACTGCATGTCTGTACTTCAGCTTCAGTATCTTCGCTAAGTTCATTTCTTCATTATTTGTTGTGAAATAATTGTGTTAGCTGCTGGAAGAGAGATGATATTTGATGTAATAAAATGGGACCGCATTAATAAACTTTACATTTTCTACTATTTCATTATGAGAGATTCATTTTAAAGTGAACCTGTCAGATTCACCCATGCATATAGATAAATAACTGAAAAGTGAGTAGTAATATCCCTCATGGAAACACAGAGGTTCTGAACTTACCTCACTTCAGTGGAAAATTGGTTGCTGACTTGTTCCCAATGGTGGAATTACCCTTTTCTCTGATACCCATAACATTGATAGGAAGAGGAGAGATTTTCCCTTCCTTCCTGTTCTTTTTTGTCAAAAGAATGGAAAAGAACTCTCTCAGATGTTAACAGAGGTTTTAACTAGAGGTGCACCGAAATGGAAATTTTAAAACCGAAACGAAACCGAAATAAAAAAAAATTGTCAGGCCGAAACCGATACCGAAAATGTTATTTATTTTAGTTTTTTCTTTAATTATGTACAAACAGTCAGCGATCACTGATCACTGAGTGTTTCCTCTCGCTCTCCATCCTGACAGCTGTCACAGGAGGCTGAGCGAGCGGTGCAGGGAGGAGAGCTCAGCCTCCTGTGACGGCGCGGGCTTCTCCACCCACACACCGCTCTGCCGAACTGTGATAGGAGGCTGAGCGGTGTGGGAGGAGACGCCGGCCGCTCACAGCGCTCTCCTCCCGCAGCGCTCGGCCGACTATCACAGTTTCTTTCCTCACTGCTGGGACACAGAACAGCGCCCAGCGGGGAGGAAAGAAAGAATGGATGTGCCGCTGTATCGGCAGGAAAATGGCACTTTCGGCATTATGCCAAAAGTGCCATTTTGGGCCGATATGTTTCGGCGGCCGATATAACGGTGCATCCCTAGTTTTAACCATTCCCTGCTCTTTATAAAACTAAAAGTGTTTTTTGCCTAGCTATGTACAATAAAGGGGGTATTTATAAAAACTTTGCAGAGCCATTGATTATGCATGTCCATTTGCTCAGTGTAAATGGGACAAAAACAAATGTTATTACTATAATTTCCTATGGGTTGAATGTAATATCAGAAACGTAGCACATTATGGCCACTGGGTGGGGCTCAGGATCTTAGGAGAACAGTATTTATTTCCTATGATCATTGGCTCCATCTAGTGGCCATAATGTGGTATTTTCCTTATTCGCTCTAATCTTATCAATGAGTTACCTTCAGCCTGGAAAGAAAATAGACTCATATATAGAATCATTCCATTTACCCCCATTTGCACAGAACAAATCTACAGTATATGTACTTTTACAGGGTCAGGGCACTGACATTTTTTATGAATACACCCCCTAATTAAGCTGCATACCACGGTTTCTCCATTCCAGTCACTCTGGTGCTGTAGCTACAGTGAATGTTGGGATCTGAATGGAAACCTGGCTGCAGTCAGCATACGTAATCCTTACATTGAATGCTATGGGAAAACTCATCTTTTCTAATCTGTCTAATGCAGGGGTGGGGAAACTCAAGCTGTAGAGAAACTACAAATCCCATGAGGCATTGCAAGATTCTGACAGCCACCGGCATGACT